TGACCATTTTGACCATTTTGACCATTTTGACCATTTTGACCATTTTGACCATTTTGACCATTTTGACCCGTTTGACGTTTTCTTTTTCATCTTTAGATATAATTATAAACTTCCTTTATTTTCTTTCTGATTCATTTTACCCTATGGTAACTATAACGTCACTTGATTATTTTAGCCACCCAACAGGACTCACTGTTGTTCGTCTTTTTGCATCTGATGATTACATGCTGGAAAAATGTGCGGCTCATTCCTGAACGACCGAAACGTGATTGCGTGATATTTATGCATTTTATACAAATATAATTTTGATCCTAAAAAATAAGATAATTTACAAAGTCTGTTTATTAATATTATCAAAATCAGAAAGTATATTATTTAAACATTTCATATACAAAGACCAAAGTGATGGCATTTACGGAAAAAAACATACGCACTTCCTGAACAGTATGACATGTGGCCAGTTGGTCTTTTTAAATATTTTAAAAATAATATAACCTGTGTAACAGAGGTAGAGCTAGATAAAAAAATCCAAAAGTTCCAGAAAATATACAGCTTGCTCGAGCGCAAGGGAGAAGGGACAATCACGCTGGCACCATAATTGCTGCGTCATCGGTATATTGTTCCATGGTTTATCTTTCTACAATCTTGATATTTCTCTTTGTACGATTTGATCTCGTAAAGTAATGGATGAAATTACGTTACAAATTTCCTAAATAATTATTACAGTTTTTATTTTCGATCTATTACAGGCGAATAACACACACACACACTCTCTCTCACACAAACACACATGGAGATTTTTGTAGAGAAACAAAATATTCCTATGTTTTTAGTTCAATTATAATTGAATAGTTATATAATGACACTGTCTGTACACAGAACAAACAGTTGGGAAGCTCGTTCCAAGTGCAGGTGTTGCGATTCAAGTGCCCGAGTGCGGGCGTTAGTTTGGGCGCAGCTCTCGGAATGCACCTAGCCAGCGGAATTCGTTGTACACGGCCAAAACAAATTAACGAATGTGTTTGCCGACCGGCCATTCTCCAGCGTGGGAGGCACTATCGTGTGAACTAGCGGTATATAAGTTAGCGGCGAAAATCGCTTGGTGGGATTCCATAACGAATGAAATCTTCGTGCTGATGCTCATTTGTCCACCCATGCTGTTGTGCTCGCAAGCCTCGGCTATGCGAGTTGTCTCTCTCGCCATAGGACTACAGGCCAGAAGCGCAACGCAAAATAAGATGAAAATTAATTGTTCAAGCAATCAATGGCAAAATACTATCTTTCTGACTAGAGGGAGTGAAGGGAGGTATGACTTCGAAACATGGGACTGACATGCATTCTAAAGCATGCGTTTATGTGTAGAACGCGAGGTAGAAGACACATAGGCACATCGTTATAGAAATGAAATTGGTAGAAGCCAGAACAGGTCATGAACCCATTCTTGGAGTAGAGGAAAAGAAGATGATCATAAGGGTGTCAACTCTGTTATTTGTTAATACGAGCATAACTGCGTCATCACAGGCCAGTACCCATAAAGCTGATAAAGGATACTGTTATTTTTTAATTGCTGAATTATTTACAGAGCTAAAAATTAATCTTAGACGTAGCATCGCTTTAACCGCCGGGCCTGGCCGTGCCACCGCACTGACAGAGGGCCCACAACGGGCGAGTGGGTGACGCAACGGCGAAGAAGGGGAAGTGGGGGGGTGGGGGGCGAGGTGTTTTGGTATATTTCACTTTACGACGCTCCTATTCGTCTGATTTCCATGATTGTCACGGGGTTGGATTCAGGAAGCATGTCTCCATCGCGCTATAAGGCCTCATTTTTAAATTTGTTCTTGAAAGTTTGAGAACTAATTTCAATTTCGCGTTTTTGTTAGATTTTTGGAAAAAGGTAATTGTAGCGTAAATTCTATTTTAAAAAGGCGTCAAATGCCGTTTACAGATCGAAAATCGGACCATTGGTTCAGAGGTTATCGGTAAAGTTTACTTATTTTGGTGCTGCCACGTGGTGGCTACAAATTGTACTAGTGTCGGTACATTTAGCCTTAACTTGCCAATAACGTTACGTATAAAACGTTTTTCGCAAGGGGGTAGGGCATTTGCGCCCAAATAGGCCCACAACACGGAACCCAACTTGGTGCCCTTCTGACTCCTCCTTCAGCTCGTTCTTATTCGCTTTCATTCGAGTGAAAGTGCCTGGTCTCTTGGCCTTAACAGACGCAAGCTAATGCCGTTAGGGGGGATTAAACTTTGGACCCCAGCATATTTATTTTATCTTTTTGGGGGGATATGGAAATGTTTCGTCGTTTAGATCTTTATTATTATTATTAATATTATTATTATTATTATTATTTCTTCTATTTTTTCTCAACCACCCTCTCAAAAAAGTGATTCCTCAGAAATAATCACACGTTCAAGAAATGAACAAACTATATATGATTAACCATACGAAAAACTGAAGTTATTTTAACACAACTTTGCAGAAAATGCTTCTAAATATGTGTAAGTTAGTTATTAAATATATAAAATTTCCCTTCAATTGTATAACAATTTATTTTGGGATCCCCCATTGGTGTTTTGTGTGTACGGCAATGGCTTTGGTGTCTGACTGTTCATTGTATTACTTGGAACAGAATTACGCGCCAAAACATTCAGTCTCATTCAAAGACAAATGCATATTGTGAAGAAGACCGGATCATTTTGGCATTTTCGTGATTCCAAGAGTGCTCCAAAGGCAGAGGAGTGATTTTTCTTCGATCTCCCTATATACTTCATACTTGTAATAAAAGGCCGGTTTAGCAACTGAATACGCCAGAACACAATACCTCGCTTGGGTGGGGTTGCTTTGCTAGTGTGCTTTCAATCTCGAGTGATTCCAGTACCGACTTAATAGGTTCTTAGTGTGTGACGAGAGAAATGTCAAGACGAGTCCGTGCTGCATGCCAAGGTGTTCTTATACATCTGGAGGGAGGCTTAAGAACCCCATATGTTCATCCAATCACTTTAAAGTAATGACGTGGCGACCACCTATCGGGATAGAACGTGCTCTGTTGTTTCTGGACTAATGGCTGTAGCAGGTAGCGCTTCAATGAAGCGGATCCATATCGCTCATGAGAGTCGGTCTTCTCGTTGAGAGGCACACTCGATCGTCTCTTCTGACGTCCCGCGCGTGTCTGCCTCAGCTTCCGCGGAGCAGTTCTCATCCTGAGCGCGGTGGCGCTGCACTCCATCGCCGGCGCCATGCTGTTCCACCCGCTGCGCTGGCACGCGCGCCCGGCGCCGGCGGACGACTCCGACTCCGCCCCCGCCACGTGCCCCGAGCGCCAGCCGCTCGCCAAGCACCACCACCACCACCACCACCGCCACCCGCAGCAGGCGCACCACGCGCGCCAGCCAACCAAGGCGGCGGCGGCGGCAGTGCCACGGCGCGGGGACGTTGAGGCGCCGGCGGCCGAGCGACGCCCGCTCACCGGCCCCGCCCACGCTCACGACAAGGGCGCGCGCCCGCCCACGCCGCTCCGGGACGTGGCCGCCATGGGCGACAGCCTGCCCGTGGTGCGCGCGCTCGACAAGGACAAGGCGGAGAAGGAGTTCATAGGTAAGGCCAGCGCCAACGGGGGTAGCGCAACAGGTAGTTGTTTCCCGAAATGAAAAGTTACTATTTCCTCGCGTACTCGTGTTCATTAAATAACTCATTCATTCCACTATTACTAATAATTCGAGCTCCTGTACATAACACGCTAAGGAATGGTGTTTTTGTCACTTGTATGAAAGGGCACAATATCTCGTAGGCGTGCTAGATGGATTTAGACGGAATTATAACCTACTCCTGCATCAAACACATTTAGGACGAAAAAATTAAAATTCAGATTATGATATAGGTTCAAGAGTATTAGCAACTCGAAGTTTACTGTTCGTTGAACACGTTTTAAGGGGCCAAGATGACACAAGAGTGTTGTTTCTCGTGTCAAATTTTACAAAATGAGACATTTTTAGGCGTTCTATTACATTTTGTGAGTGCGATGTCACTCTGTAGCAGTTGTCAGGAAATTTCCAGGACGAAAGTATTATCGCTTATATAAAGTGCGGAATATTTGCACTGGTCAAACTATTGCATTACTATTGTATTGTCAGTATCCATCTTTCTGGAATAATTCGTAGTCTACAGGGATAAATAATATATCAAACTATATTACCATTGTTTCAGTAAAGTCCCAAATTATTTTATCAAAAAACTAAAACTTATATACATATTCTTTCCCTTCTCAAAAGTATAACTAATGATACGGCAAAATTTCAAATGAATCAAAACACTCAACAGCTCATTATTTTATTGGAAGCCACAAAAACAACCACCTGGTTTCCATACAGCAGAAAAATAATGGCTAAGCCATCGAAAGCTGCTATTGTAATAAACAACATTGTTGGCAATGACGACTCATATAATCATTTCATTGTATATACCAACGACCACTCATCACAATACCAATATAAAAAATAGCCAGAAAAGAAGAAAGCAAATTCAATTGAAGATACGTTAAAAAGTTCTAGCTCACTCAAAATTATAAATTAAATTACTAAAGGAATCGCCGGTCAGATGGCCGAGATCGTTTGGACATTTGGACGGTCTCGGACCAGAAGATAGCGGGTTCGTGTGTCGCCTTGGTCATAGTTGTATTTGTGTCTGCCTGTATGTGTGTGCCGTCCTTTCATCACTCACCATCATCATTATCTCATTGTCCATATCCCCACGGCTAACAACCTTGGGGAATAAAAATTCGTATTTACTCAAATGCTGATCCCTCATCCCCCGAACCTGCTGAAGCAGGATGCACGCACGGTCGCAATACGCAAAAAACAACAAACAAACTTAAGGAATCTAGTTTTTACTCAAATAAATGAAAAATTGTAATGTAGTCATTAAAACTACATAGATTGGTGTGCTGTTCAATGAAATGTTTAAAAAGTGAAAGAAGTTTTGTGAGAGCGTCCCTGCTGCTGCTGTTGCCTAACGTGTCTCTCCCGCCCGCCCGCCCGGTGCCGCAGTGCTGGAGGAGAAGCGGCGCGCGGGGCTGCTGGGGCCGCTGGGTGCGGCTGCTCGACCTGGACCTGCTGTCGGACGCGTTCATGGTGATGCTGCTGGCCGGGCTGGCGGCCGTGTACACGGCCGCGTCAACTTCAACATGCTGTACCGTTTTTCCTGACGGCGTCGGGGCTGGCGCGCGCCGACGTGGCGCTGTGCATGTCGCTCATTGGCGGGTCTCGACATCACCTCGCGCCTCGTGCTGCCGCTCTTCACGGACCGCGCACGCGTGCCCGCGCGCATCACCTTCCTGGTGGGCGCGCTCGTGCTGGCCGCCACGCGCTCCCGTGAGTACCCTTGCGGAGAGCGAAAGAGCGTCAAGCGTTTCGGCGCCACGAAGCCAGGTGGAAAAGAAGCTGGGCTCTGAGTTGGGGAAACATTCCCGTGTAGTCGTGTTCTTTCATCGGCGTTCAAATGCGACCGAGACTATTCCAGGCTCTCCGTTGATACTTTCACAATTATAGTGCCCAGCAATCACCTACCGGAAAAGGTGGCTCAGGGCATCTACTGATGTCACTGCAGTGACTCTGACAGGGAGGTCCTAGATTCGAGTCTCCAAGGAAATAGAATTTTTCAACACTTGCCTGAAAAGCAGATCGAATTCAGTCGCTGTCTAAAGGCACTATACTTACGAGACTAATGACCATATCCGTTTCTCCATTCGGAATCACTAAAACAGTCAATCATCAATCCACTAACAATCACCTGCGACGCAAAGAATATTTTTATTAAACTTTCTGAAACTGCATGTTATTTTCATCTGTATTCGCGAGTATCCGTACCTAAACGCCAAGAAATTTTCTGTTGGGGAGACGTGGAAACGCAAAGCCATGCCAAGATGAACGGCTGACATTGTGACGCCCTCTGCTGGCTCCAACTGGTTCCACCGGTGACGATCAGTCTTGTCCTTCCACCGCATTTAACAGGCTCCGCGTTAAAAAGTTAACACTTCAACACTCGCGAGGGTATTTTGGTATACTTTCGTGTTGTTACTTCTCAGAAAGCGTGTTCACCTTAAGTGGTTTATGTATTTACATGCAGCTGTCAGAAATATTGTACTTTTTATTTTTCATATAGGAGTATTCGCGTATATTTTACGTACGCGTAAAAATATGCCGATTCCACAAATAAACGCTTGGTTAATTATGTGAGGCGTTCTGTGGTACAACAAACTCACGAAATACAAGATTCGAGAAAAATGCATTTTAATAATGTTATACTATTTCATTGACTTAACACAACCAAATGGGGGAATGAATATCCACTCTTAGTAGCCGGCGTCTATTAAGGATTTAACGCTGCGTTGTTCGTTAAGTACAATTAACAGAATTGAGTTCTGGTTAGAAATGGTGTATCAGTCACTTATTTCAAGAAAGGGTATTTCTTGTTTATATAATTTTTATCTCACAATAAGATTTTACGGAAAGTACTGAATGGCCAATAACACAAATTGACTCCTGTGATAATAAAAGTAGGCTCTAGCTTCTGCTTACAAACTTCAACCGCGTTTCATATTTGCTGTTTATTGTTCACACAACGTTAAAAACCATTAACACTCAGGGTGAATTCAACAGGGTGAATGTTTCTAAAATAAATGTAGATTATTTTCTATGAGAAAGAGAGGTGATCAAAACTTATACCTTTGCGAAACTTACACCTTTGCGTCACTTGTGTACTTCACAATGGTGTATTAAAAAATCACAGATAATTGAGTTCCCCCTTACTACACGAAACGCCTCACATGCTTTACATACAGCGTGTCTCATAAATGTAACAAACCTCTAGGTCATTTAAAGGAGTAGAAGATTATCCCATTTTGCCCATTGACGTATGGTCAGATCAGAAACGCAATGAAATGAGTGCGGTCCCGGCTTCCAAACTTTTATCGGTCCCTTTTTATAAAAGTGTATAGTAAATACATGTAGTGTTAGTATCCTTTAACATATTCATCAGTCTATGATTACTATATTAAGAAATAAATGTTTCTAACACAAAGCGCTCTCTTAACTGGGATCTTCCGCATTGCTGGCCTTGCGAGCCTGAATGATACGCCACTCCGTCGGATACATTATATTACCAAGTGTCACATGAAATTCCCCTAATTTTTCGGCAACTCTCACACACCAACGTTCTGATATTATTAAAAACATTGTTGGCTGCGTCAGAACTCAACCTGCTTAACACAAGCGTGTGAGGTGTTGCCTAATAACAAGGGGCAAATGCCACAGTATAACTTAAGGGGCCGCCCATAAATTAGGTAACAGAAATCTGGAGTATTTTGAATGTCCCCTCTACCCCTTAACGCACCCGTTCACGCACTTTAATCCCCTCTTATAATTACGTAACGTTTGCGATAAGCACCCTCTCCCAAGTTTCAATCAGTATATCATTGATGAAAAATGTTTTCATTAATTGTAACAGGGTATGGTTGCGTAGGCTTCCGCGGCCGGAGTTTCTGTTGCCTGGGCTATCCGGGAAAATCCACGTCACTGACATGGTGGCTAACCATGTCAGTTACGCGGTTCGTCCCGGATAGCCCAGACAATATTTATTGTAACAGTTTATAGAATAAAACTTATTTAATTTCTTATGTTTTTAATTTAATTTGTTAATATGTTAATAGTATAAGACTGAATAAAAGGAATTCGTTAAGCAAATATTGAATGATTTTAAAAATAAATGTCAGCTCTACGTCATACTAAACTATGACCCCTTATCACTATGTAACGCAGCGTAACGCTAGCTCCACCCCCCTCTACAGCCTTATGTAATTTATGGACGACCCTTTAGTTATATAAAGTTGCCCATCTATGTTCATTGGCAAAATGTGATCTCCTCCGACATCCCTCCAAGTATTGGAAGTTTTCAACATTTATTCCGAGACAGCCTGTATATCGGTGTATTAGCCACTGTTGCACTTGAAGCGCAACAAGCGGCAGTGTGTGTGAACGCGCTCTGTGTGTCTCCCTGGCAGTGGTGGCGCTGCAGGACGAGCTGCCGGCGCTGCTGGCCACGTCCGCGCTGTGCGGCTTCGTGCGCGGCGCCACCACCGTCAACCACAACCTGGCGGTGAGCGAGAGCTGCAGCCCCGAGAAGCTGCCCGGCGCGCTGGGCCTCAACATGGTCATCAAGGGCATCTCCATCCTCATCCTCGGCCTCTTCATCGGTGAGCGCTGCCGACATCCTACTCTCCTACCACCCCGCTATGCATTGCCACACATTGTAGCAGGCCCTCTTTCACATAGCTCGCATTACGGGGCCTTGCGAGCCCAAACGTTACACCACACTCATGCAAACACACACACTCAAAAACACACACTCAAAAACACACACTCAAACACACACTCAAACACACACTCAAACACACACACACACACACTCAAACACACACACACTCAAACACTCACACACTCAAACACACACACTCAAACACACACACACGCACACTCAAACACACACACTCAAACACACACACGCACACTCAAACACACACACACTCAAACACACACACGCACACTCAAACACACACACTCAAACACACACATAAAGACAATCGTGGTGCATATACCAGTAAATTATTTTAATTATTTATATTTCGCATTTGTGTTATATTATTATTTACCAAACTTTGCAAGGACATTGCAACAATTCTGGAGAATACACTGAAAGAATATCGTATCTATTCATATCTATTTGTGGTAACGATGGTGGTTACATGTCGGTTACTTTTATTAGCATGATTCTGTATTCTATTTCGATGTTCACCCGTCATGCCAAATGTACATTCTCATGATATGTTCATGACAAAGACGAACATTTATTCCTTGACACTCTATACAAGCTACCGGATACTGTTTGGAGTAGTAAAAGAATATACACCCATAAGACATGTGCAAGAAATTTTGCTAAAGTGTGGAGGCGATAATTACCTGTTTAGACAAGGAACCGTAAGATTCCCTTCCTACATTTTCGTTGAAGTTTGGATATGATGTAAGGGACTAGGCAACAAGCTCCAGGTGTTTCTTTCCTGCGGGCAAAGGTTTTAAAGGGATGAAATCACACTCTTAAAGCGTGGACTTAATGGTGTAATTTTATTGTTTCTCAAAGAAAATGTCATGGTCACATATTCTGCGTTTACGTTTGTGTTAAATTATTTCATTTTCAAACCCACTTCAGTACATGGGTTTCGTTATGACTGGGGAAACTACTTCGAAATATAAAATTAGATTTCAAACGTGCTTTCTAGGTTACGTAATAAAAAGAAATAAAGGTGATATAAGGTATGGAACAGAAGTTCAGGGAATCCATGATCCAGAAAGCGTTTGATCACGTAAAAGAAACAAAAAAAACACATCAAGCCTACTTCTTCATCCCTTACAGCATATCCAAAATTCAGCAAAATCGGAGAGAGAAATATTGCTGTGCGAGTCAAAAAGAATCTGACTTTACTCTTACATCTTAAATCTGATAACACTCGCTTTAAACATTTTCTGACGTTTGAAATAAACATCACATGAAATCTATTTTTTCAATAATTACGCTCTAATTTGTTTGCTTGACCCTGTTAGTTTAGAAAAGAGAAAAAAGTTCCTGGCTCCTGTTTGAAACTTGCCCGCTCTGTTGCAGGTTGGCTGAGAGATGTGACTGGGAGCTACACCCTGTGCATGCACGTGCTGTCGCTGATCGTGACGCTGCCCATGCTGGTCTGGCTGGCGGAAATCTGGGTGAGCCGCCGCCGGCGTCACCGCCTCCACCGCCCGAGCGTCTCACCGCCGCCGTCGCCGCCGCCCTCGCGCCAGTCCCCGCCGCCCTACGAGGCCCCGCCGTCTCCGCCGCATACGCCCACACCGCCCACGCCGCCGCCGACGCCGCCGACACCGTCACCGCCGCTGCTCTCACCCTCGTCGCCCTTGACGGCTCCCAAAACGATGCCCACGCCGCGGTTACAGGGTCAGCGGTGATCGGCCCACGGGTAGCTCACCCGGGTGTATGTGGCGTCTGACTGCAGAAGGAACTGCAGCCCTGTACAGAAGATGTGACCGCTGCGTGTGGTGTTCAGAGAAACTCATCTGCGCTGGCGCGGATGGTCTCTTAGCTCGAGCGATTTACGTTTTCGTTGCTTCTTACCGGCTGTTACGAAAACATTGGAAACGCCGTTCTGCTGTTAGATTCAGAAGAATACACTCAATCGTAGTTCAGACACTAGCGGAAGATTGAATATGCGTATTAAGTTAGTGACTTTTGATTTGTCTACAATTGAATGCAATCTGTAGCATCAAAGTATGCACAAGAGGTCCTTGTGTTCATATTATATTTATTGACATTTTCAAACACCGCATATATGTGTAGGTTTTGGCACTCCGATGACATTTTGAAGCAGTTATATATTTACTACGTAAGTAATTTTATAGCGTTTTGGGCAGCTGGTGGAATAGTATGTTGTCACCAAAAAAACTGAAGCGTAAATCACGAATATTGATGTTATGAAACGCTTCTTGAAATGGGTATTGAAAATGAAGGCGTGCGATGGCTCATTTTGAGAACAAAACGTTGAGACAGGAAATGGAAAAGTGACTGAGGAAGATTGATTAGGTATTAGAAATAGTTTTTTTTTCTGTTGGTCACTACTGCTCTAGCAAGTGGCAACATACGACAGATGGAAAAAGTCTTTTCGTGCTCAGTTCGAATTAAATTGATGGCTTCTATACCTACCGCTATGTCCAAGCACGTTGAGGTATATCCGAGTTTTGAGTTTTAAATGTTAGAATGTTAGATGTTGAACTAGTAATACATAAAATGGTAACATTCGAATAGTGTCGTTGAAAATAGTGATTGAAAGAGATGTTTCGTTAATAGGATATCTCTTGACCGTACTGCAAAGTTTATGTGCATCGTAACTTCTATTAGTTATATCTTTGGCCAACGTCATTCTTTTATGTATTTTATTTCATTTTGTTTTATTTTCGGTTCAACATTATTTTCTTCTTCGTGGACCCCTCGAGCAATAACTATGCAACTTTTAGTGAGATTATTGTAAAATACTTAGCACGTTCTATTTTTTCAATAGGTAAGTGATTTTGAAGAAGGTGCAGCATGTCAGAGGATTTAGCAAAGTAGGAGGTATCCTCCAATAAGTTTGCTTGAAATACTGTCCAGTATTTATATATGCAACGGAATTTAAATGCAGCAGTTGAACTGGGAGATTAAGTTATGAAACGATAATATATCATGATTGGTCATATTTCCTGTTTTTCAAAGTGTGTATGAGCACAGAAATGAGATGGACGTTCAGAAACGAGGATATGTATCATTATTTTCTTTTTATACTTTTATAAATATTATTTTATTTTTTTATGTGAAAATTATTCGAAGGTGGTAAACGTTAAATTAATTTATTATGATTTAATAAATTACCTTCACTTTCATCCAAAAAAAAGAACAAATTTCAATGTTAGGTGTCAGAGACATCTGTGTGTCGTTCTCACTTTTGCTTAGTCGCCGCAATTTTGACACGTAGACCTCTTTCTGTCGTAAGCCTAACGTCGCTATTGCTGTATCACTCATACGTACGAAACAAAACAGGCCTACGGTGCATTACCTAACGGCATGACCATGCTCGAGGTCAATTACTTCTCTTCTTTTATTGGAGTACCAACTGTGATATAGTTTGCTTAAATGTGATGATTCTAGAAAGTTATATTTCTGAAAACATGTGCTTCAACTGCGAAATATCGGATTCTATTTATTGCAGTTATATATTTTTAGGAAATAACTGTACTATTTTGCTATAGGAAGAAATAACAGTATTTACCTTTTGATATGTATAAGCGTAGCTTAGAGGATGTAATTTAATGTAGCACTTTTCATGTATTAATTAAAGCTGTGATCATGGATGGTAGGACCTGTCTTGGTCCTGTACCACCATGTTAGGGATCAATGTACTGCTACTGCGACTTTATGCAGCGGTTGATTTTGTGTACGGTATTGTGATTCTGTTTAATACTGCAATATTAAGAGTATTGTTGTAAATCTTGTGCAAAGGACTGTGATTGTATCTGTTTTGTCAATGAATTCATGTTCCACATTCAAATGCATTGTCTTTATTATGCAACAATCTGTGATGTTGCATACATAATGTATGCTGCGTGGTAGGAGTATTGTGGCAACATTGTATTTGTAGACGCTTTGCAATGTTGTTGAAAATACATATCACATTCTCGATGTTTACACGCATTTATGTAACATTTGCGCTGTTGAAAGGATGGGATTGACAGATAATTGGTTCTTCTATTGTTGCTAAGGTAAAACTGTTCTATTAGATGCTTCATATGTTTTTGAATACCTCCTTCATCGTTTCATAATTTGTAAAAGACTGGTCGTAAACAAGTCTATTATTGTGTGGGATTACTCGATCAAGTCAACTGTCAATTCCTTCCTTTAATGAATGCAGTCTATGAAATTCCTTCCAAACGTTTCCGAGCCAACCTTCCCTGTTCGGATTTGATTCATGGAATAGTTTTCATGAATGTTCAAATGGGGCATCTGCATGCGGAAATATTCAACACCGCTAAATCATTTCTCGACGACATTGTTTTCGGTTCCTTTGCGTTTTCGATTGCAAGGCGGAGTAATTCTTTTCCTCCCTCGGCTCTTTTTATTTCCTTATCCGATATCGGTTGTATTGCTCTGCGCCACATAGGAATAACAAGGGCGACAAACGTGTGTCGCATAGATGAGAACGCAGAGACCGCCATCGCTTCCTTTCCTCTGTTCATTTGCAGACATAAAACACGTCTCCTTCCCAAGCCGAGGCACCGCCTAGGTCCTCGCCCCCGCTTCGCTCCCCCGCTTCGGCCCCCGCCCCGCCTCCCCATCGCCCTTCCATCGCCCCCTCCACGCGCCCTCGCCCGCCCGCCGGCCGAGGCGATCCGTCGGAGCTACTTCACAGTGGGCGGAAATGCAGTTCCTGGGGAACACCTCCAACCAATAGAGTAGTTAATTTATGATCCATGAAATATATTTAAAACGTTGTGATTATGAAATATTTCTCCGTGTAAATCAGTGAAATGGAAATAAAAAGTCATACCAATCTTAAAGGGCATATAGTTAGTCGTGTCAGTGACAGACTGTTAAGCAAACACACACAGAATTGTTAATATGACATTGAAGAGAATATTGTGCGTTTTTGTTCATGAGAACCTTTCCAACACTGATTCTGGAAGCTACATTTTTACCGCCTGAGGTCCCGATGAATAGAAAAATATTTAATCGATGTAATTACGATTATTACGGATAATGTTGCACTATATTACAATCTAAGTTGATTTTTTGACTTGTGAAAACATCTTGGAGACAAAAATGGTTGAGTCATCCGTTTAAAGGTGAATCACTAATAAACTTTCTAATTACCCATGTAAATGTTATCAAAGAGATTTGAAATATAAATTCTCATACATTGCAATGTGTGTAATATATATAATATTCTATCGACACCATCCGAAGAACTGGTCAACAATTTAGTTGAATGATATGAGAAACTACGCTTTAACCAGGAGATCAGTGTTTGATTGATGGTCAGTATGACGATTCTCTGAACAAATTGAATAATTGTAAAATATTTCATCAAGCAATTGAATAAAAAAAAGAAATAGTAAGTGCGAAAAATTAATTTTAATCAGAAATTTGGTGCGAAGAAACGAGCTTGGGGTAAGCAATGGTTCTATACTGTCAAGAGACGCAGGCGTCTTGCTGTTTTTTGAATATTACTATCTTCAACATAAACTAATTTTAAAAAACTGTACATGTGCTAGGCAATTTCTTTGAATTCTTTTCTTCTATTGTTTTTTAAGGCAGTGAAGTGTTTTGATATTGTCCTCCTCACCCAGCCAGAAATTGGTAAAACACTCACCAACGCTACGATTAATACTTACGAGCTCCATTACTTAACTCCTCCCAACACAGCAGTCTTTCCAGTGGCCCAGTCACTGAGACTGCGGCAATTTTTGTGGAAGTTACAGTTTTTTCTTGTCCAAGGCCTAAGAATGGAACGAGAGCACGATTGGCCATAAATCATCGAAGGACTTGCACGATCGGCGCGAAAATCAGCCAGCTGAATTTTTGGTGAGTTTATTTAGATATAATACTATTTAAAATATAATATATGCTGATATAAATTAAATTAGTCTCTTGATGCCCGGAGGGGTGTTTGAAGACTGCAAGGATGATTTTTTAAGTTAAAAACTTAGATAAAATTTCTAGGGTTTAATTACATACTTTTCTGTGTGTTACATGTACGTTTCAATTTCATATTATATGTAATACAACTGTATCGAATTCTTTTTTTATTTTTGTTAATTTTTTAAAGGTAGTAATGATTGAGTGGCGATATAATCTGCATTGTATTTAATGTTGCCTGTGACTGTTTCTTTACCTAAATAAGCAGTTTATGATTTCTGAAATCATGGTTTGTAGTAATTCATATTCTCGTTGTTGGAAATCATTTTCCATTTTGAATTTCTTAGTCAAATAGAAATGTCTTGTTAATTTGTCTCCAATATGTTTTCACAAGTCAAAAAAATAAACTTGGATTGTAATATAGTGCAACATTATCCGTAATAATGGTAATTGTATTGATAACATGTTCTTTTATTGACCGGGACTTCAGGTGGTAAAAATGCAGCCTCTAGAATCAGTGTTAGACAGGTTCTTGCGAACAAGAACCTACACTGTTCCCTTTAATATCAGATTAACATTTCTCCGTAAGTGTTTGCTTAACAGTCGGTGACAGACACGAGTTACTACATGCCTTTTAATATTTGTATGACATTTTTATTTTCATTTCATTTATTTACACGAAGAAATATTTCTTAATCAAAACGTTTTAAATATTTTCATTGTTCATAAAGTAACTATTCTATTGATAAGTGATTTAAACGGATTCTTTTAGTTGTCAGAATGAATATGTGTATCAGTTCGTATGTTTATTTTCTATTGATCTTTAGATTACTACTAATTTATAATTACTTATTTTGAGCTTTTGGATGTAATGGAATACTATTCTTGAATAAACTATTTTCATCCAACACATATTTCACAGAAAATGAGATGGCGAATATTCAGTCATAAATGAAAGTTTGTCTCGGAGAGCCCTGTGGAAATGACCGAACGCGGCCCACTGCTACGTCGCCGGCTCTTTTAGAATGCGCCCCACGTGCGACGGCAGCGCGCTCGGCGGGAGGGGGGCGAACTGCGGCGCGCGTCGCAGCGGCCGGAGGCGGAGAGGAGGCAGCGGGGCGCGGAATTTTATCGGCGCATTTCCGTCCTTACGCTAATTGTGCTCCGGCTCCAGAAAGTCGCCTCGCCGCGCCCCGCCCCGCCCCTCCCGGCCAACGGAAAGGGCCCGCATCCCGTCCCCCTTTTTTGTTTCGTCCCCGGAGGGGGATATTGCTTCGGGGGGAAGGGGAGGGGCGTAGGCGCAAAGGGAGGGCGTCGCGACGCCCCGGCGCCGCGCCGCGTGTGCGTCTGTCATAGAAATCGTCGCGTTGCCGCAGAGTTGCGCGCGCCACCCTCGCGACCTCGGTGAGGGATGGTTGTGTTGGATCTACTGAGGATGGATGGGAGCGAGTAGCTATCGTTGTGGTGATTCGGTGGGGTATCTACTACACGCAAAAATGAGACGAAAGTTGTACTGTAGAAACTGTAGTCCGATACGTTGAGAAGTACGCTACGAGCTCTGATCACGTGATAGTTTAGGGCACAAATTGTCATAAGTAATAATTTTACATTTCTATTTATTGAATGCAATTCATTTTATTTATCCAAGTTGTCGGAGTCAAAAACCTGTCGCTTATTTTGTCTTCTGTGAAAGATTTAAGTTACCCATATTTCATTCCGGTCTAAAATATAACTGATTTTACTATTTCTTCTATATAATCTAATGCTCATACCTTTTGCCAACAGCACTTTCTTGTTGTAGTTACTTCTGGGAAATTGAATACTCTGTATTAAAAATGAGTAATCGTGGGGAAAGAGAGAACTTACTGACGTAAGAAAAAAACTGGGATATATCAAGCAATAAGCTGCTCAAATGCAAATATGCGTGTTGCTACATCCACAAACTTCACACATCCACATCCACATTGCTACATCCACATTTTTTTCATTTCAACAATTTGCGGTAAAAAAGAGTCTCTTTCAGATATCTGGGTCCTTCTTATTTCTTTGTCTTTCATTTCATCATTGCCTTGTGGTAATTTATATTAAGCTTTTTATTATTAATTTATAATTGTCCTTGTCATAACATTGAGATAAAAATCATTTTTCAAATAGATAAAGAATATTTTTTTGAAATAGTATTGAGCATTAATTGCAACTCAATATTGTAGGGTGAACTGCTGTCATTCGCTGTGTCATGTTTCAGTGAAGGTACACCATCCCTGGGTAGTGTAATATCTTCACTGACATTTACAATGACTAAATTCTCTATTTTCTGAAGGTTTTCGAATCCATAGACATTCACTAAACATACTGCATCATCACAGGCAATTGTACACCATCATTACCAGACGTAGGGAGCAAATCAGTTACAATAGTAAAGAAACATTATTTTTATAAATTAAAGAAATGTCAACGAACACTACATACATACATACATACACAACATCATTATTAATTCTATAGTACACATCCATTGTCGGGAGTCAGCGAGATTGCACTTTTGCGAATAGATGAGACTATGTGTTGTCTCAGCAAATGGACGTCAAAAATAATACTATAAAACGTGTTCAAATAATAATCTTGCCCTTTTATAAAAGTTAAATTTTTTCTACGAGAAGAAATCACCACAACAGATTTGTTTCCCCACGTGAAGCTAAGTGTGAGGAGATAACAATCAACTCTACCGCGAGAAATAACCAGACAACAACTTCGCATTTCGCCGTGAATGCTTCCTGAGGACTGCGCTCCTCAAGGTGCCTCGCTCCGTCCTCACGCCGTCCTCGCCTCGAGAGGTCCCGAGCGCTGTCGCGCGTCCTCAGCGTCGAGGAGGGAGCGAGCGGCGCCGACGACGTGGCCGCGCGGTTCAACTTTCCACGCCCACCGCCCATTAACGTCAGCGCCCGGCGTTTTTGCAGCGCGGGCCTCGGCCTCAACCTTTGACGTCCACGTCGCGTCGTGGTCGTCGCCGTTGAGGCCGGCGGAGGCGCGAGCTCTACACCCGACGCCGCTATTGCCACCGTCGCCACAACTGCACACTGTGAAGGCTGCCGCCGCCGT